AAGAAAGAAAGAAAGAAAGAAAGAAAGAAAGAAAGAAAGAAAGAAAGAAAGAATAATACTTTACTTATACCTGCTTGAGCTGCATTGGATGTACAGGAAATCTCACGGCAGTAGTATAACTGACCTAGGCCTGCTTTCTTCCCTCCTGGCCATCATCACGCATTGGCTGTTTCCCCTCTATAGGCGGGCAGGGGCCGAGCACGGCCGCGTCGGCAGCCCAGCAAGGGGGCTATGAGATCCCGGCGCGCCTGCGTACGCTTCACAACCTGGTCATCCAGTACGCCTCCCAGGGTCGCTACGAGGTGGCCGTCCCACTTTGCAAGCAGGCCCTGGAGGACCTGGAGAAGAGCTCCGGCCACAGCCACCCCGACGTGGCCACCATGCTCAACATCCTTGCCCTGGTCTACAGGTAAGAGGGCCCGGTGGAGGTCCCAGGAGGGCTGGAAGGGTCCTCGTGCTCTGAGCTTTGCTACCTCTGGGGTTGGAGGTGCACCAGCAGGGGGGAGAGATGTGGAAAAGGCCCTCCCACTTGCTTGTACCCTAATAAGCTTGTGCTTGTTTGGAAAGCACTTGAATTATTATGGGCTGCCCTGGAAGAATCAGAAGCATAGATGGTGCTCCAAAGCTGGTGATGCACATATTGCACCTCGAAGGTACATGGTTACTATTAAGGAAGCCAAAGAAGGTGAGGGGCAGAGACTTAAGAAGGTGGGTGATGGGAGGGTCAAGGCGCTTCCCGTTATCTCAGAATGGCTGAGCCACACAGCCCAAGAGATGCTGCCGAGCCCCCCCCCAAGCCTCCCCCCCTCTTGGTGGCCTTCCAAGGGGTTACTCTGGGCCAGCCCTTCTTTGAGGAAGAGAGGGCATCTCCTGCGGCTGGCTGGGACAGAACCTTGCCAGCTGCCTCCCTCCCAAGATTTTTCAGCCCCCACTGATGCCTTGGTGCTTTCCACCCGATGCTTCCACAGGGATCAAAACAAATACAAGGAAGCCACTGAGTTGCTCAATGATGCCCTGGATATTCGGGAGCAGACCTTGGGCGTGGAACACCCAGCGGTGAGTGTCTGGGGCAGCTGGCCCTGCGCGCAGACGGGGCAAAGGCGGAGGGATCCTGTGGGGGCTGTTTGTGGATGTTCCCCGACTGGGGGCTTTTCTCTTGGGCGTGGGCTGGGGGTCCCATTCTCCCAGGAAAAACACACATGTTGGAATGTTCTAAAGGAGGTGTGGGGAAAGGTGGTGTCATGCAAGCGGGACCCCTTGCACCCCCAAGAGGGAAAAAATCCCCCAAACAGCGGCAAACTCCAGAAGCCTCTGTGGGGGTGCAGTTTGTCATTTAATGTCACCTCCTGGTTCCGTTTTTGGGCAGGAATTCCCCCTTATTAAGGCAAGAGGGATCTTTGTTCACATCTGCTTTTGAAAAATGAGCAGGTGAGCCCACCTGGAGTCCAAGGGAGGGTGAAAACAGCCCCCCCCCCGATTCTGGGTAGCTGCCCAGACGAGGAAAGCTGTCGTGGCTGCCTCG